AAGAGGATGAAGAGGATGAAGAGGATGAAGAGGATGAAGAGGATGAAGAGGATGAAGAGGATGAAGAGGATGAAGAGGATGAAGAGGATGAAGAGAAAGGAACTTGTTCATGATGAGGGTCGCCGAAAGGAACACAGGCGGAACCCACGAGATCTAGATGGTTCAAGCTGCCCTGTAGTGTGGTATGGTGGGCGCATAAGGACGACAGACAGGCGTCGCTTGGTGTTGAGACTGAGACTGATGAGCAGGTTACTGTAGAAGAAGGGGGGCCAGGGCCAAAAGCGGCTTGCCTGATTGGCCACGACCGGGGCATAGGGCCTGCAATGCCTGTGACGAAGTGTCACCGCCTATAGACCTACCTACCTCCCTACTAAGACCTACCTCCCTCCCTACCTATAGGTACTCGACTACTAGTCACCTGGTACATAGTGTAGATAGTACGTAGATACTCAGGTCCCACTGAAGAGATGCTGCCCAAACGGGAGCTAGACGCCCGCTGCCGAGGACCAAAAGGTAAAGTTAACGTGCTCATCTGCAAGCCTCGTCACGCCGTCACGCCGTCGGTCTCAGGCCAGTAGTCAGATTAACTTGCTCATTACATAGTAGTACTATGTACTTAACTATGCATTTTCTGCATCTCGGCTAACACGTCTTCATAGTGGAGGGGCTAGGGCTCCGAAACCGACCGGAATGTCCTGGAAATTCAAGTTCCCAAGAGCACCTGTCACCTTTTCTTTTTCCTATTGTTGGACGGTTGGCTACAGACCGACACTGGCATACAGCACATACAGTTACGTGGTCTAGACTTGTACATACTAGTAGGAGTGAATCCTACAGAAAGTGATGGTTAGGAATGATCGAGGATTCTTCTTACCAGAAGAGTCCTCCTAATATGTATAGTAACCTACTAAGTATAAACAACAATAACGTGATCAGAGTCATAGACTGTCAAACTTGAGCATTCCCTAGCATTGCCCTTTAACCAGAAGGCTGATTTAGGCCATACTACGGAGTACATGGTATACTATATAGCATGCGCCCCTTGATAGAGAACATGGAACAATTTAACCTCCGATATTTGACATGAACAAAGTCCCTCGATCTCTCTCATCCAAGTTCTAGACCTAACGAAAGACTCGGAGTACCCCCTAGCAAGTATCCACCAATTGCGCGTACTGAGTGAACTCTTGGTCCCTTTTCAGCATGTCCAACTCCTCGGGGAATGTGCCCAGTACCAGTTCCACGCCTACATCCTTCTTCAGAGGCAAGATAACCAAAAACCGGAAACGGCCGTTGCCTCGTTCGGGCTGCGGGCGCATGCTCTCGGGAGAGCCTCCGTGGGCAAAGAATTGATCTCCGAACGAGATTTCACTGGTCTGGAACAAGATCATGTTGGAAATCATGGCGTGCATGTGCGAGAGACCCATGTTGGCGGTAGAGAACCTGCTGTGGTCGGGCAAAGACTGCAGAAGCGTGAACGCATCATGAACAAGCGAGGGTGTGATACGCGCCGCAGACCCGCGGAGCAGATATGCGATGCGTCCAATGCTCGTTTCGGGTGAACAGAGTGTCTGGATGGGCATGCTGGATCGATTCAGGATGAGCATGCTGCCCATGTACGTCGATGGCAACAAAGAAGAGAAGTACGGGCGGCCATCGGTCGGCAGCTCTAGAATCGACACCTCGTCGGGGCCAAACGTCTGTCCCCGGAGCTCCGTGGCCACTCGATACCGTGCTCTGATGGCAGAGCGCCAGAAAAAGGCCTGCACAATGTCACTGAGGGAAGTGATCGCCCACCTGGCCTCTGGATCGCCAATGACCTCTTGTTTCAGCTTGTGCACGTTCTCGGGCGGAATGAGAAACGAGGTCGTGCTCAATGTTCTCTCGGCGCGAGGTAACGGCCAGACCGAGTGCAGAGGAAAACGAGGGGGACGAGGGAGGACCCCTTCGCGTATCCCGCCGGGTTGACACTCAGGGGGCTCCTCGGGAGGGAAGAATGGCAAGAATGCCCAGGTCCCGGGATCAGCCTCATGAACCGGTCTGGTGTACCCTTCCTGACGGTGGAGGATCTCTGGCAAGCTGTGGTTGAAGCTCTCCGGGTCGTACCAGTCGCAAGTGGCGGACTCATCGCCTTGCAGGTACCTGCAGTTCTCAGCCCAGGCTTTGAGGGCCACCATTACACCAAGGCCATCAAGGCAGCAATGGTTCAGGTTGACGGCGAGGATGCAGCCGCCCTGGACAAAGTTGGCCTGGGCGACCAGGACGTCGGCGGGCATTGTCGGGAACGGGTCATCCGGTAGGACAAGCTCGTCCTTGAAGGCGGACGGCATGAAGCCTGCGTCTCGTAACTGCTCGAAGGTCGGAAGTACACGAGACAGATCCTTGTAGATCAGGCGATTGCTCACCGAGGCCGAGTGTGAAAACGGAGGGACCGTGACGCAGAGGTCGCCCTTCTTGTAGCCAATTTCGTGTTCCGAGCAACGCATCATCTTGCCGCCGAGGGCAGGGATAAGGTTCAAGGTACGATTCAGACCCTCTTGAAGATTCATAAAGACTTGTTCGAAGCTGACCCGTTTACGGAGGGAAAAGTAGAAGACCAATCCCATGTAGTGATTCGGATTGACGTAGTCGAGAGCGTTCAACCTGAACGACTGCCGCGTCTGATATTGGACAATCGTCCTCTTCATCTGAGCCAAGTTGTCGTCTACGGCGCTGCTGGACGCCGCTGCGGATGTGGGGTTTGCCCAGGCCGCCATTTGTGCGAGAGCGGCAGCGAATGTGGCCAGGGTGGGATTGGCATAGAGGTGTCGAGGAGCAAGTTGATCCCCCAGCCCCATGGCTGCCCGAATGGCCCTGACAGCCGCGAACGCTCCAAGGGAGTCGAGCCCGAGACCGAACAAGTCATCATCGGGGGAGGCTTCCTGCATCGCAGGCACTGAAGAGGCCAGGATCTCGCGGATCGAGCCCTGAATCGACTCGACCGACCTTGTGTCGACAGTGACAGCGACCAGCTCGTCACTTCGAGAACGGTAGAAACGCTCAATGTGCTCGGTGTATAGTGCGAGGGTGGCGGGTCGCTTGACCGTGCCCTTGTCTGTCCGGATAAAGGGTTTGTCAGGCTCTGCAAAAGTCACGAAGTCCCGCAACAGCTGGTTCTTGTGTCGAGACCGCGAATTTGCTTCATCAACAGTTGCCCAGATGCTCTCGAGGAGCTCGTCGGGCTTGGAGGACGGATCTTTCAGCTCGATAAGGAGGGCAGCCTGGGGCTTTCCCGTCCCAATCTGTGACACCATGCTGCGTTAACCAAGGGATTGCTCCTCCTTGTGACGGGGAAAAGGTATGGACTGGCCAAGTGACTTACAACGAGGCACCCGTTGATTGCAGGGTGGGTGGTGACAAAGGCTTCAGTCTCCAAGGGCGAGACCTTATATCCGTTTGACAGGACAACGAGATCATCGCTTCGTCCCTTAAAGGCCCACAGATTCGGATTTGTGGGATGCCGCTCGTATAGGTCTTTGAGGTTGATGGACTGCTTGTCTGGAAACGTGTGGAAGATACCCTGGAACAAGGCCCAGTGGTTGTGGCGATGCACCCAATGCTCATACGTGTCGGGCTCTATCTCTTTGAACTCGAAGCCGGAGTAAGGGTGAAAGGCGAACCAGAACCAGTCTTCCCTAGGTACCACCAGGTTCCCGATAAACAAACCCTCGGTTGTACCGGTCAGGTTCAGGACTCTGATCACCTCGTTTACCTTGCTAGCACTGACTGGGCTGACGGGACCTGAAGAACAAGCGGAGTCAGTGGTCTGGCTTGGAAGGCGGCACGAGGGTGAAGAAAGCACCTACCGCCCGACGCACATATGAATTTCGACGACTTGAGCTTTGCTAAGACTTCCAGAGTCTCGCCTAGCTCATCTACAAGTGACGGGACCATGCTCCAGATGTCGATCTGCCCATGGTCGGCGAAAGACTCCACCAGGTTGATGTTGGGCAACACGCCCGCAGGCCCCAAGACGCAGTGCAGGTTGAAGAGAGCAGGCATAAGGACGTCCATGATGATTCCGGCACCCTGGCGTCATATCATCAGGCCATTGGTCTGCAAGGCAGCTGGAGAGAAGATACGTACGTGGCTCATAGGGAAGGATGAGTAGATCCTATCACCTTCCTCCCAATCAGACGTCCAAGGGGCCAACCCACCATCGGCTTCGGTAGGTGGGAGCAACCGCACCGCATCCATCGTGCCTATCAGACCGTGGGACCATGGGATGGGTTTGGGCACTCCGGTGGTCCCCGAGGTATGCAGGAAACAGAATGGGTCATTGCTAGCTTCTTCAAACGTCTTGGTGTAGGGGAAAGGCTCGGTAGCTTCTGCATCGAGAAGCTCATCGAGTACAGGGAGATGGAGCACTTTCAGAGGACGCTGCTGTAGCATGGCTTTTACCAGAGGAACCGTTGCCACGTTGCCAGGCTGGACCCAGATGTTACATTTGACTGCATCCAGGACCGCGAGTGCGCCTTCCGTGTTGTTCTTGGGCGACAGGAACAAGGCCTGGGTGGCACAAACTGAGTCAGCCAGTCCGATTGTACTGAGTGTTGGGGAGGAGCCTAGCCTCACCGCGCAACCAACCTTGACGCATGCGTAGGTCAATAGAATATGCCGAAGGTCGTCTTTGTGCAGTCAGTCAGTGCATGAACTGGATCGAGAATGCTCAGTTCAGTTCGAGGGTTCTCTCTGCTACTTACGCGGTCCAATATAGCCCACCGGCTGGATAGATTTGGGGCTTCCAACCTGGTCGCGAAGCCACCAAGCGGTTTTGTCAACCGCCTTTGCAAAGGCACGAGCAGAGACGGGCCGAAACACGAGGGAATTGCCCTGACTTGTCGCCAGAGAGAAGACATGGCGATCTGGCTGGGCAGCAGCCAGGCTGTCCATGATCTGAGGGATGAGTCTTCTACCGTATTTGATGGGAGTGGCCCCAGTCACCCATGAACCGGCCTTCACACCTGACTCGGGGCTTGAAGGAGGCGCACCGGGTGTCAAGCGTCCACCGAGGCACTCACTGAGTCGTCTGGGTGCTCGAAGGTTGCTTGCAGATGCCTCGCTGACACTGGGAGTATTGTCCTCGCGCAGCTTCTCCTTGAAATAGCTGGGTCGGCCGTCCTCATACACCAGCTCCAGCCTGGTATCTTTCTTGAAATCGCCCATCGGAGCGCTGATCCACTCCCCATCCGCTAGTAAAGCGACACTACAATGCCACGGCGTGGTAAACCCGGTCTTGGTGTTCAACAAACTCATGGACAGCTTGTGCTCGCCCATCGACTCGTGGATGGAAAGCCGCAGATGCTTTGGAAAAGCGTGCTTGACTGCTCTCATGAAAGCCTGTTGGGGAAGCGGTGAGCCCGGGACACGACTGTTTCTAGTTCTGCTACACATACATGTCCTCGGATCAGCATTTGCTTGGCCATGTACTTCACGTCTCTCTTGTAGCCACGACCGGATCTATTCTCCCCGAGAGCGAAGATATGCTTCAGATCCGATTCCAAGAATCCTCGGTATCCCAGGTAAGTCAACTGTGTATCAGGATTCGTGGCAATTTCGTGATCGATGTCGAGGTCGGGACTGCCGTATTTGTTGAGGAGCCATCGGCGAAAATTGGTACAATTGGCAACGTAAGTGATCTCTCGGAGATTGTCCGGCAAGGGAAAATCGAGCAAGGCTTTCATTCGGGAGAAGCCAATGTGGTCAAATCCCTTTTGAATGGCCATGTTGCGTAGCGTCTCTCCATAAGCCCAAGTATCGCGATCCGATATCGACAACAAGTCTACATAGTAACAGAGCACCACCACATTAGCGAGCGAGACGACTGGATGAGCATTGAACACACCGTTGTATGTCGTGCCATCCGAGATGATGGTGACCTTGGCCCCAGGCGGGTACACGTCCTGGATGCGGGCGCACATGGCATTCAGCCGATTCAGAGCCAACTCTTCGGCTTTGTCAGGCCGAGTCCCGAGCACTTTGTACACCTTGTTGGCCGACTTGAACGGGAATGCTGGCAGACAGGCTTCCACGCGGGTCCCGGAGACGACGAAGTGGTCAATGACTGACAAGAAATTGGCATTGCCCGCCACCAGTCGGTCCTTTGAGTCGTCGAATTTGTTGAGAGCGTACTCGAAGATGATGTCCAGGATCAGACGGGAGACGTCGCTCGGCTCCAAGATGGCAGGCGCGGCTTGGAAGGACGGTTCATCCCCTGGGGAAAGCTTGAGAAGACCCCCGCCATTTGTGGCATCTTTGATCTCCATAATGGTGTGCGTGCTGTTTATTGCTTGGTCTTTCATGGCGGTGTGTGAGGTGTGGCAGGAGCTCTGGTCCAAACCCCCGACTGAGTTGGTGGTTTCAAGTTGGAGAGAGATGGACATGATCCGCAAAATGATGTTGAAGTCCAAATATCACCAGAAGGGAATCATGTGTGGGAGAACAACCGACCGACTGTGCAAAGGGGCTAAAAGATAGCTAGTATGAGTCTTCATTCTGTCTTCATTCTCCCACTGGGAGCCTCATCGAGGCAGTACAATGTCATTGGCATAACGCGTCTGCTACCCACAGAGTCCTGCCATTCATTGGCAAGTTCGATGGCGGCTTCATCTCGCATTAGAGGTTGGAAGGTGGAGAGAAAGGGCGGCCTCGGTCTGCGCGAAATGGTTCATATCTGTGGCCTTGGTGCACGAGGAGGGCCTCGTGGGCATCTTTCCCAGATTCTTTGGCCAGGAGAGTTCCAACAAAGTCTTTGCACGCTATCAAGGTCCACAATGTGGTGAGAATGTCGAATCCTGCCGATGATTCTCCAGGTCCCAGCGACCTGTGCTGGCTCAATTGCCGTGGGCGACGTGGCTGCCGAGGACCAGCTGAAGAATGTTTAATGTGCAGTAGCATTGAAGCTATACATAAAACTTGCGTATTCCATAATAAACTATGGACCCTATAGAGAACTAGCCAGGGTATAAGTTGCGGCGTAATATTGGGGATGACACCCCTGAAACATGCTCATTTTTCTAGCCTTGCAGCGTAGTCGAATGAAAGGCTAGTAGCCAGGCTATCAGCTGCCGTGCAACAATGCTGAGCCTGCATATAAAACGTGCTCATCTTCTGTGCTTACATACCACGACGGCTACCATCACCAAGGAACTAGTCTCTTGCCAAACCTGCTCGGCAGATGCCAGAATCGGCCGAACCATTTTCCTCAACTGGCAATTCTGTGGTCCAATACAGTCAGCCTTGTCCTATACACTATACCGACGTTGCCAGTCTGTTCTCTCATACCTATCCCTGAGTTTTTGCAATGGCAAAGGAGACGATGACAGAGCTTGCGAGGGTTTTGTCACACCACAGTGTCAAGGATGAGAAGGGAGTGCTGATCAACCCTTTCCTTCGGGCTCCCGAGCACCCTTTGCTGGATCCAAACTCTGGCAAGTTCAGCCCCAAAGCATGGCTTAAAACGCTCATGAGCATCAATTCAGGGGATTCTGAATTGTATCCGGCTTGCTTTAGGTCACGAATTCACCGACATTGAGAATACAGGCATCAATCAACTCTGCAGCGCCCACTCAAGTTTCACAACCGATTCTACCCTGTATTTTCCAGGTACAGGTAGAAGAAGCCAGGGGGCACCTGACAAAAGGAAACAGAGTACCTGATACCTCTGTACACAGGAGGTGGGAGCATTCCTCGTCTTAGTCAGCATGATAAAAAGGAAAGTCACGTGTACGGGATGGACGGCCGGCGGCGCCCGGGGTAAAGGGTAAAAGGGGGGCTGGTAGGCTTAGGCTCGTATGACGTATCCGTACAGGTACAATCTAGACTCCTCCCTCAGCTGCCATCTGCCAGCTAAGTACCTAGGTATGTATACATCTATGGTCCCTGAGGTGTGGCACTCTCACTCACTCAAACATTGACATCTACTTACTCTTATCTAACCAACCTCCTCCACCTCCACCCTCTTACCAAGTGACTTGAATTCGGCCGTACCATATACCACACGAGAATCGACATCGCATCGACATTATCTTAGACATGTTCCAGCCCACGCTCGTCCGTCTGCTTCTCCAGCTCTCGGCGCTCCTCTCACTCGCAGCAGCAGCTCCAGTCTCAGCCGCAGGCCACCGCCATGGTGTCCAACCATGGCATTACGGTGCTGGTGGCGGAGTGGTGGGCTTCATTGTTCTCATCCTTGATATAATCGTGTTCAGTACGCCTTCCCCCCTCCTTTTAGCATGCAATCTTGCTCAACACCAACATCAATCAATGTGTGGAGACAATAGGTACCAGGTCCTAGGGTGCTGTATGGATAAGCTAACTCGTTTTTTGTAAATAGTCGAAGTATTGCAATCCAACCGTCCGGTCCCGAACAAACTCCTGTGGTGCTTACTCGTCTTCTTGTTCCCTATCGGCGGAGTGATCATTTACTTCCTCTTCTCGAATCGCGCGGCACATCGCACCGGATATGAAACGATAGGGTAGAAGCCGGACTGAGTCTACCGGTACTTCTTGCATCATATCTATTGGAAAAACAGACCCCTCCATACCGCGATAGTGAGTCGATGAAGACTTAAGGTGCCGGCGGCGTTGACGAGGGAGGGCTTGGAGAGTAGAGAATTCCTATGACTGGGCGAAGCAAACGAGCAGCCACAAGTGAAGAGGGATAGACTGGAGATGGTGAACAAGAAGCAGTCTAGAAATACTTTGCACGCTACTAGACCTTACTCTACGTTGAGGCAGACAATGGGATTAGCAGAAGATTCTTCCCATCAAGACAACGACATTAACAACACGAGGGGGTTTGACCAGATCACCAGCGGCGGATCTGAAGATGTATTTGCCGAGCAAGCAAGAGACTTGGTTGAAGCACTCCTTTATCTACAATAGCACCATTTAGTGAATTCCTATCTTTCGTCAAGTATGATATCAGTTCAACCAAAGTCTTTCACCTCCATTTGTTACCTCGTGCTGTCAGGTCCTGTGGTGAGAGTAGCGAGAATTGGTGTCGACGGGTGCCTGTATGACCGTATAAGATGTCAGTCATGGGTCTTGGGCGACAGCTCTGATATTACCCGTACCTTTGATTATCAGCCTTCAGCCCTCGCCTGTGGAATGGGCGGAGATGGCCGAACGTTGGTCCAGGCGAATTCCTCAGCTACGAATCGCTTATCCGCCTGTGGGTTGTCAGCCACTGGATACTTACTACTTAGCTTCCGGGGCTCTAGAGCTATGAGATATACTCCGTACTCCGTAGAGTATCCGTACTCCGTACTCCGTGTTCTCCAAATCTGCTGTGGCGAGCCGTCCCCGATCGCCGCTTCGACGCATCCGTCTCCCTCAAGCCCTCTCTTACACGAATTCGACGATCGTTGGCTTCCTTCCCTGCCACATTGGCACTGCAGCCTGCGGCTTCATTCAGGCTTTACAGCTCCTGCCACGTATTGACTGCATCAAAAGTCGCCCGAACGACAAGGCACACTTCAAAATGGACCGGCGGCCGGGGTGGGCGCAGGGGTGGCTAGGCTGGCCAGTTGGCCTTGTCGTCGCTCCTGGTCAGTCAGCAGTCAGTCTACCGTCGCTCATGGTCAGTCAGCACTGCTGTCAGTCTTACCGTCGCTCCTGGTGAGGGTCGGAGGGTTTAGAGAGGGAAATGGCGCTGCTCCCCAGGCTGTCGAGGGAACCACGTCCCACACCCCAAGCCGCACATGAGACGAGATCGGGATGGACAGGTTGAGGCCGCATACAGATCCAAGCACGCCAAGTTCAAGTTCTAGGTGAAATAGGCAAGTTGCAGGTTACAGCAAGGCCTCAGGCCCAACAGCGCGAGGCCACCGTGGGGGCGGCCACTCCGATTCAACCTCTCCTTGGACGATTGGCTCTCGGCAACATCCAAAAGAGACTCGACCTTGGGTCAACCCGGGCTGTGCGTTTACGAGTACATATCATATGACCGTGGCTCTGGCAGACGGTTGGTTCTCGCCGACGATGCATATGCATCTTCCCAGACCGTCGCGAACCTGTCTTCTTGAGAAGTCCTCGCACGAAAGCTGGGAACTGCGGGACCCGACCAGGACGTCGGCCCAAATCAGCCAACCTTCAGAACTTCGAGGAAATGTCAGTTAACTATGTATATGAAGGACGTTGTCGTCCACAATGCTGACCAGCACAGTCTAAACCCGCCGAGTCTCTCGAGGAATTCCTCCCTCCTATTGAAGCCGAAGCCGCCGACGCCTATCAACGGTCGACTCATTCCAACGTGCAACTGAGTTACCTGAGGCTCTCATTTCATTTTCAGACAAAATCCTGTTGCTCGCCAGTCCGATAAATTCCTTTTGAATAGCTCGATGGCTGACATGACGTTCATCGAGTTAGAACCGGTGGTGCGAGCGCGCTATCCGGACTTACCTCTCCATGAAGCCTATGTCGCATATCTCAATGACGCCTTCAAGTTCCCCGCGAAAGTAGCGGAAGCGATCAAACCTATCCTACGACATGGTCTGCCACAGTCACCTGAGCTGTTGGAGGCAATCGGCACCCTCTTAGGTCACCCGGTGCCTGTTTTTCTCAGCCGGTTGGCCCGCATAGGCATGAACATCAGTGCAAGCGCCTCAACGCCCGGAGCCGGCAATGCCACCGCAAATACCAGTGAGCCCTTGGATTTGGCGACCATGCTGGCTGCCGAGACATTTGGAAAAGCGGCCGCAAGCGCCCAAGCTGCAGCTGAGTGCATGGGAAGAGTTGCCGATTCAGCAGACCAGGTGGTTAGGAATATCCATGGCATCCATGTCATTGGAAATTCACTCGTCGATCATATCAGCTATTACGGGCGTTGGATGCAGAAAGTCTCAGCCATCCAAATTGCTCAAGGACACCAGGTAATCCGGGCCCTGGCCACCATTGGAGAGCATCTTGGCGAGGCCAATAGTATCAACGTGTCGGGAAGCGGAGGCCCCGACGGCTTTGCGAAACACGTCCACGACTTCATCAAAGAGAAAATTGGGGTGATCCAGGAGGCGGAAAGGGACAATCATCGTTTCTTTGTCTACCATCCTGACACAAACTGGTATCCGGCATTCTATCGACTGATCATCGAGACACCTCTTCCGCCTACGTTTTGTGCCAAGTCAGACGACTTGGACACTTTATGTCGGTACATGCAAGAGGTGAGGGCGCAATTGAAAAGGGAGTCGGGGCGTGGAAAAGACATTATTTTTCACCTGCTCATCCCCTCATGGTACTCCATTTCCTTCGAGGAGCCCTTGCATTATCCCGATTGCCTTCAGCCATTCAAAGTTGAGGGGCGGAAGCACAAGCGCAAGGAGTATGTTCGGTTCAACCTTCCAGCAGCGCCTGCTGGTCTTTTGGACGGTGTTGCGAACGTTCTCGACCCCAAAGGCTGGAACAAGGTAGCAGAAGGAGTTTCGACCGCCACGACACTGCCCACTGTAGGCTGGGGTATCAACGGTGCCTGTCTCGCTGCCGGGTTGGGCTTAGGTTCTCTCACAGGATTGGGAATGTTGGTTGCCATTCCGGTCTGGTGGGGCACCGCGTTGCCGGCTATGGATCTGGCAGCACCAGTTATCCAGGAAACTGTGTATAATGCCCTCTGCGAAGAAGCACCAAGAGTGTTGGGGTCCAACCGACGCCTAAACAGGGGAGGAAGCAAGAAAGAAGAGGGAGAAAGCAAGAAAGAAGAGGGAGAAAGCAAGAAAGAAGAGGGAGAAAGCAAGAAAGAAGAGGGAGAAAGCAAGAAAG